GGGAGGTCTTTGGGAGGTGATGGAGTCCTGAGGGTGGAGCCCTAGCGAGTGACATTAGTGCCTTTATAAAAGGGAGCCCTGAGGGCTCCCTCGCCCACCCCACCACGTGAGAACACAGCAAGGCTTGGGTCCTCACCAAAATGTGACCCTGCCGGCACCTTGGTCTTGGACTTCCCAGTCTCTAGAACCGTGAGACACAAATGTCGATGGTTTTCTCAGCCGCCCCGCGTGTGGTGTTCTGTTATAGCAGCCCAAATGGATGAAGGCAGGACCCAGTCTCCACATGGGCAAGGTGAGTCTCACAGAGCCTCAACGGCCGAGTTTCCTGAGAGAAGCCAGACACCTGCATCGTGAGACTGACGTCTCCCACTTCTTAAATGTTGGCAGGTAACGAGAGATGTCTGCAGGCCAGACATGACCCACAGTCAGCGGCGACCCTTCCCTAGCCGTCCACACTGCCTCAGTGTCCCCAAACGCCAAGCCCCTCCCTGCCATGAACCCAGGGCTCGTGACTGAGGGGGCTGATGTTAGAGGGCCCCAAATTCCCCAAAATGAGTTTCTCAAAACACACCCATCACTGCCCTCAACTCGAGACATGTCCCTGAACTCCCTGGGCCCAAATTGGTCTCAAGTCCAAAAGGCTGAGCCACCAAAGTGAGTGCCCAGGAACATGGAGAAGGTCATGGTGAAGAGCACCAACTCTGAGGTGACATGCCACGGTTTCACATCTGGGCCCAGCCCTTTGTGGCTGGGTGACCCTCCACATGTCACGGCACCTCTCTGGGCCTCAGTTCCCCCATCTGCAAAATGGGGCAAATACAAGTCCTCACCCCACTGGGGCTGTCAAGGACTCAGTGGAGTAAAATCTGCATGCGATGGGTGTGAATCACACGGTCAGCTGTAGATGCGGGCCAGATACGATGCTGTCTCTGAGCCTGAGGTACCCTGACGTGGAGGAACCAGCCACAGGCCACAGGGAACGGAGGGGGCATCTGTCTGCCCAAATCGTGCCCTTTGACGGAACCATCTACTCCCTCGAGGGCACAGAATTTAAAGGATCCCTAGCTGCCTGCAGAGCTGACTCCAATCTGTTTGAGTTGTACGGCTCTAAACCTCAGTTTGCATTAATAGGTGTATTAGTTGCAGAGAGAGAGAGAGAAAGAGAGAGAGCTCAAGTGAGCAGAACAAAGAAAAGCCCCCTCAAAGGCCAGCACACGGGGTCCCAATACCCACCCACCACCTCGGGATGTGCGTGTGGCTTGTCCAGAGGCTTCTGCACACACTCTGTGCACAGACCAGCACCTGGGCTGGGATCCTGACACTGTGGCCTCATGCAAGTCACTGAGCATCTCCGGACCTCCACAGCCTCACCGGGAAGCTGTGGGTAGTGAGACCATCCACCTGCCGGAGGGGTGAGCGCTCCATCGTGCTCACCGGATGGTGCCCAAAATATTGGCGAGGCTTCCGAAGAGCTTGATCCCACCATCACCCCATCATCATCATCATCATCCTCACTGGGACAATTTGCTGCCTGTCTTCCTGGGTTGACATTTGGTCTTTTGGCCACACCAAGCGGCTGTCATTCTCATGACCTTGGGGCTCCTTAAATGGAGTCACAGTGCCCTAAAGGACCACAGACTAGAACCCCTTTCCCAGAAAGGGTCCCCTGTGGAGGGTGAGACTGTCCTGGGTGAGGGTTTTTTTAAAACAAGAGGAAGTGTGTGAGCCAGGAGCCCTGATCTGACGCCAACTCACTGTGTGACCCTGAGCCAGTCACGGCCCATGCCTGAGTCTTCTTTGTCCTGTCTGCAATGGGGGCTGGGGAAGGAGATGCTCTAAGGCGTGTTTTTGCTCCAAAAGTCCACTCACTCACTCTGGGGACGAGGTGGAGGCACCACTGTCACCCGTAACGCTGCCTGGGGGTGCCGGGGTGCCTGCATCTCTCCCCGGTGATGGGAGGTGGTGTTTTTGCTGAACCCCCATAGTTTCCAAGGGACATGGACCCTCTCCACCCCCATTCACTTTTAGACCCAGCAGAGAAGAAAGGAGCCACCCAGCCGCATACAACTGGGGGGCGGCGGGACTCATTTAGGGACAAGGTCCTTGGAAGAGCTTTGTGGGCCCAGAGGCCACCCGCCCAGACTTCGCGCCAACAAGCGAAGGGTTTCTTTTGCTCCCTTGGATCCAGGCAGCTGCCACACTCATTGTTGGCTCCAAGCATCGCAGCTCATGCAGAAGCCCCACGCCCCCCAAGTTCCCTGAATCCGGGGGGAGGAGGGGATAAAATGATTTACTCTGGGAACTTCCACCATCCAGCCATTAAATCACTCAGGGGAGGCTACGGCATTTGCATACCACTGCCCGCCCCCTCCCAATGCCACCTCTCTGAAGAGCAACACCACACACAGGCGACACCCCACCCCCACCCCCACCAATCACTATTGAAATGAGAAATATACCCCCATGCCAAGGTGCCAGGCAGGGCTAAGAGCCTCTCTGCCTTGAAGCGCCCCCACCCCCACCCCACCCCAGCAGGCTGTGCCACTCACAAGGCCCCTCTGTCAGGGGCTCTCCACCCACCGTGATTTTATAGACCCCCGAGCATAATGGGTCAATGATGCAAGGCTCGACCATTTTCCCCAGCAGGGACTGCAACAGCACCGCTAACTTGCAAAGGCACCGCAAGCACAAAAGTGGCTTGAATAATGGGGGGCCCCTAGTCGCTAAACTGGGGGATTTGTGCTGACTCCTACCAAGCACAGTTCCATATGTTTAAGCGCTTGCAAGGCTTAAAGAAGTACACCCACCACACTCTTTACCATGGCAGCTACCCACGCAGGAGGGGGGGAGGCGGCACAGGCAGACAGTCCCTGGGTGTGATGGCAGAGTGTGCATCCTTCTTTGCCTCTGAGCTGGTCCTGAGCCTCGGCCAAACGTGGTCAGCCAATCGTGCCAGAAATTATCCCCTAAATCCAACCAGCTCTGAAGAGCGCCGGTTAATTCCTGTAAACCGTTCAACCAACAGTAGGCAGCTGAGTATCTTTCAGGAATTTCAGCCTTGTTTTTTTCCAGCTCTCCTAACAGGTGCTAAATATAGAGTTATCAAACTGTCTCTTTATGTCCCTGATGAGGGCTGGGGAAAGGCAGACATGGGCTTCCAAGGACCTGGTGATGGCATGGGGGCTCTGCCCATGAGCTGCCCAACAGGGCAGCACGGCCAGGAGCTGGGCGGGCAGCAGGTTTCAGGGTTGGCACGCCTTCCCTCCCAAGGACCCAGGCCTCCCAGAGCCAGGCACAAGCTCTCCCATTGCTAGGGGAGGCCGTGGGAGGGGTGGGGGGTCACCATGTTCTCTCTCAAAGCATCAGGCAGGCAACTTCTCTGAGCTATTCAACATTCGCTTATGAGCACATCCAGGCAAACGCTGACCCCCGTGGAGAAACAAAATAGAGACAAAACTGCAATTTTCAATTCCGAGGGACTGTGCATTTTGGGGAACAGGCCCCAGGGCTACAGCTAAAAGGAAATAGCCTGAACCCCAGCAACATTCCTCCTAATAAACCACAGAGGGACGCCGGGAGGAAAACAGCTAGCAGAGCTGTTTATTCGCCCAGCAGATTGAAGCTTCAGCCACACAGTAAGCCCGACACCATTCTCCAGACCGAGCCAAAGCTGAATGCCGATGGATATCTCTGACAGAAGGTTTTCTCCGAGTCCAAGGTTTTATTAAATAGTTTGGGTCACATGGGGGCATCGCAAAGGAAGACAGTATTTACTTTTTCCATGCAAACACATCTCACATGAAGTTAGCATACAAGGTTTGCTCCTAACTGCAGCCCTCCAAGACAGTCAAAGCTGAAAAGTTAAAGTTGTGTTTTTCTACTGCATTGGGAGTGTCTGTGTGGTTGGTTTGTTAAGAAAAGGAGAAGAAAATCTCTAAAGCCCAAGCTACCGGCTCCCAAATCACGGGTCCTGATTTTAAGAGGTCTGGAGAACGAACTGAGCTCTCCAACTGCACATGAATGTCGCTGGAACGTCGCCGGTGACTGCTGGCGGTTCCTCGGTGCCTTGAGGGTTTTCTCCGCTGCTCAGGGTGGGAGGACGGGGAGGAGCCGGCATTTTGGGACCAGCTTCCTCTAGAACCAACATGTAGCACACCAAGGTGGTGGAAAGCTTTCCGAACTCCAGCGGAGACAGAAAACACCTGACTATTTTGCCTTTCCCACTCACTAGGTTTTGGCGACAGCTGCGCGGGTGCCGGCAGGAAGACCAAGCTCCCTGGTACCCAGGCAATGGCTCTGGGCATCACCAGGAGGCCCTGAGCGCCAGGGGCTGCCTGGCCGCCTTGGGGGTCAGGGCGCCCGGGCACCCCGGTTTCAGGAGGTAAGCAGCGGGCTGCGCCGTGGCCGGAGGGAGGCCACTTGGGGAGCAGGCATCTTGGAGGGGAGGGGGCATCTTGGAGGGGAGGAGATGTAAAAGCAGGAGCGCCGCGGGGCGTGGAGAAGGGCTGGGGACCTGCCAGACTGCGCAGACAGAGACGACCTGAGGCTGGGGCCCCGCAGGTGTCCCGGAAACTCACGGCCCTGCGTCCGCGGGCATCAGTAAACCGAGAGAGGGGGTCCACCGCCGCCCTGCCACAGCAAAACCCCGCGAGAACCAGGACTTGGGGGATGGCGCCCCAAGGCGGGGCAGAGAGGGGGCTCGATTCCTGGAGGCGCGCCCCCACCCGCCTCAAGAGGCTCAGCGCCTCGAGTCTGTTGCCCCCGCGCGCCCTGAAAGGATCCGCAGGGGAGCCGGGGGAGGCGGGCGGGCGGTCTTGCGCCGGGCAAAGGGGTACGTGCCAGGGACCCCCTGGGTTCCCAGGGTCTCCCCAGGTCTGTCCAAGTTCGGGAGAGGCGAGCTGCCGGGGACTTCAGAAGAAGGTGGCCGCCCCGTGCGGCCAACTTTGCGCGGCGGCCGGGGTCGGGGATTGGGGGAAGGGGGGGTCTCCCGGACGCGTTACCTGGGCACCGGAGCGCAGTCAGAGCCAGCAGGAGCCCGAGCGGCGGCGCCCGGCCCGGGGGCGGCATGGTCCTCAGCGCGCGGTGGGCGCGGCGCGCGGCTCCCGGGAGCAGCCCGGGCGGCTACACTCGGGCGCCGCGCATCGGCTCGCTGTCCCGGCGCCGCGGTTCC